TTGAACTTATAAACCCCCTGCTTCAGCCTCCTGGATAAGTGGGAGTATAAGAGTTTATGGATCTGGCTTGTGTGTGTGTTAGAGGGAGAGAGAGAGAGAGAGAGAGAGACAGACAGACAGACAGACAGACAGACAGACAGACAGACAGACAGACAGAGACAGAGAGACAGAGAGACAGAGAGACAGAGAGATAGAGAGACAGAGAGACAGAGAGACAGAGAGAGACAGAGAGACAGAGAGAGAGATTTTCCATTTCTATTAATGGTTATTTGGTTCTAACTGTTCTTCCAATCCCAATGCTTTCTCACTGTTTTTCTCTATTGTTGTATTTTACTTTATTATGGGTAATCTATTTAATAGATTCTTTGTCACTGGAGACTTAAAATGATCTAGACTTTGTGACACACGCAGCTTAAATCATCATGTGTCTCACGCGGTGGCTGGTTTTTGTTGGTAATCTGACTTGTGATGCTTTAGGCAGTGAATTTTATGCAATGAATTGGGAAAGTTTTACAATGTGATAGGAATCCACTTTCAGTTATGTTAGCTATATTCAAACACTATTGCTCACATGGCTGTCCGCCACATTCCCTGAAAATCCTTAGCAGACAGGACTGCTGACTATCTCACACATATTCCTGGGGGAGAGCTGGTCTGCCCTCAGGACGTGTGAACACACTGTCCTCCTGTGACTCCTGTCACCAGCAATTACAGAATTCAGATACTGGAAAGGCAGGCCCATTCTGTTTTCTCATCTAGCCAGTGACTGCAAGCATGGCCAATGAAAAGGGCAGTTAAGACTTGTGGTTTGAATAAGGCTCATGTATTTGAATGCTTAGGGAGTGGCGGTGACACTGTTTGAATGGATTAATAGGTGTGGCTTTGTTGGAGGAAGTATGTCACTGGGGGTGTCTTTGAGGTTTCAGAAGTCAGAGCCAGGCCCAATTTCTCACTGCTCCTTCCTGTTGCCTGTGGGTCTAGATGCAGAACTCTCAGCTCCTCCAGCACCAAGACTGTCTGAGTGCAGCCATGCTTCCGGCCATGCCGATAATGGACCTCTGAAACTGTAAGAAAGTGCCAATAAAACGCTTTCCTTACTAAGAGTTGCCATGGTGGTGGTGTCTCTTCACAGCAATAGGACACTGGTTAAGTAAGGCTCAGAGGCATCCTTCACCCAGAACTGCCTTCCTTTAGCAAACAGTGACTGTCATAAACATTTGCTTTCCAAAGTCCTGAGAAGCATGTGACTGGAAAGCAGTAGAATCTCAGAGAAGTTAAGAGATTTCCAGATTGTACAAAGCTCAGTGGTAAAGCCCAGAGTTTGAAACACCAACCTTTTCACAGGTGCTCCTGAAATTTCTTCGGGAACAGACTGACAAGCAGGAGACGAAAGACTCATTCTTCCCTTTGCCCCCAGCACACCATGTGTATGTAAGAGATGATGGCCAGGAAACCGGGCCGTAGAGTAGCACCCAAGTGCTCACAACCTCTCTCAAATCAGGCTTACACACTCCCAGCGATAATTTGAAACATGCAAGTCTTGCACAGAGAATATTAAAAATTCACGTCTGAAATCACCTGCTGATCTTCCTTACTCTAGTTCTGGTGTCATGGGTGAGAGACTGGCCTGCCTTCAGTGTTATGAATATTTCCACCCTTCTGGCATTGAGCTTCAAACTAGGTCACAAGCTATGGCCCTCAAAACTTCTCACATGAGCACATTTCTGCCAAACAGCCCCATATAACATTCCAGTGGAACCCATTACTCCTGCCAACTGACACTGACAAACAGACACCTCGTGCTGCCATCTCACAGTGTTTCTAAAATTTGGTATTGTTCAAACCGCAGGCTGCAATACTGTGCTGGTCCTTGCTATCCCTGGGGATCTACATTCTCCAAAAGGCAGGGGAAACCTGAAAGGGGCAATGTGAGAAAGAGGCCTGTACTGGCATTAAACAACAATATCGTGGTTTTGTCTGGGAGGACATGGTGAAAGTGCTCACCTACATGACAATTGTTGATTTAGCAAAAGGCTAATCAAGGACCCCTTTATACAGTGCTCTTCACAAAGGCATCCCAAAGTCTACCCAACTCCAATAATGCCATTGAAAGTTTTAGAAATGACTTTTAACCCAAAGAATATACAGAGGTGTACGGAGGGGCTCTGCAGGGGAAGGTATTCCTTCTGCAAGCCCTCCTGGCCTTCTCTGGTATGTGTGGTACCTCTCTAGAGTATGAAAATCACACTGTCAAGGCACCTCTTTTGAGGGTCCAGTAAGTGTGACAGGAATGCCCACACAAGGCTCTCTGATGAACCCCTGGAATATGCAGCATTCTCAATGAGCCTTCTGATAGCAATAGCAGAGAGGGTGTCTCCGAGAGAAACCTTACATAAGCAAATGTCTCCTAGTAAATAAGACTCACTCAAGGAGGCTAACATGAAGGACAAGTTAAGTGGATTGCAGCCCTTGCATGTCAGTGCTAAATGTAGAAGAAATTGCTTATGATGTATGAACTGAATGGTTTTTATCATTTTTTCAATTTTTGTTGTTGCAGCAACTGGTCAACTAAAATCTTCATGCCCCCAGATAGGTATAGAAAATGTAAAGAGCCTTTTTAACCCAGTAGCTGGATTTGTCTTTCCTGTTGCAATGTCTCCTCCTGTTCCTCCAGGAAGAATAGCAGGCTGTCTTTTTCACCCCTAAGATATAAATGGGAGAGGATACCTTCCCTTGCATTTGACTGTCATCTGTGCTCTACTGGGGTCAATAGTAACAGGCATATTTTGGAGCTAAAAATGTAACTCAGTGATACAGCCAGGCTTAGCATTTGCAGTGAGGCCCTGGGATCCAATCCAGCACAGAAACAAAACACAGGACAGTTATTTCTGATGGCCAGGCCAACCTGCAATGAACTGCCATCAACCTCAGAGACAGGACCATGTGCAGACAGATGAAGTCATCTATGAATGTCTTTTTTCCTTCTTAAGGTTCAAACCAAAATGAAGCATGTATGAAAACTCCATAGGTAAGCATATTACTTAGCTAGGTTATTTAAAAAATAAATGTGATAAAACAATGTAATTTATTATTTTTAAGCCATAAATTTGCTTTATTGGCTACTGTGTATACGTTCATAATTGTATAAGTTTACAGTACACAAAGTGATGCTATGATCTAGCTGTATGATGTGGAATAATTGAATCAAGCTGATTAGCATATCCCTCCCCTCAAACCCCTATCTTTTGGGTGATGGGTTTTGAAGTCTTTATTCAAGCAAGGCCTCCAATACTCTGACAAACAAGGAGAGGCCAGGGCTGTCTCTTTACGTTTCTATACCACTGGAAATTTCTGCATTAGAAAAGTTTGAAATGCTTCCCCAGTTCCTCTGCCCTCACACCTCAGTACTCTCCCTTACTGAAAAGGGGCAGTTAATTTCTGAGTCCTCTGCACAGGCAGGCAGTGGGAGCAGGGTGAGAAGAAGGGTACCTGATTACTCACAGAGCCAAGTCCACCCTGGCAAAGGACCAAAGTGCTTAAAGGCATGAGGAAAGGCAGCAAAAAAGAGAGGTGTTTCCTCACACATCCACAGGCCCTGCACCTGTGGTCTGTAACTTCCGAAGGATGGTCAAAGGTACAAGCAACTCCCCTGAAAATTCCGCTCAGCTTCTTATTCCCCTCCTCCAAACTGACACCAGCCTGCTGACGCTACTTTGGCGACCTTAGTTTTCCTCTTTGAAACCACTTCTCTGCAAGCCTCCCCCCCCCCGCAGTCCCCCGCTGTTCCAGCAATGATGCTTTGACAAAGAAAAGTTGGCTGGCTCTGAGGTAATGTTAGGAGACTGTTACCCGGCTCAAGCTGCAGGTCTGCGCAGCTCGCCTCCTCTGGGTTAGGATTCTGAGCAGAGTCGCTGGTCTAGTGAAGAGGGTCTCACAGACGCATGTCCCACTGCCTGATTCTAAACAAACAACAAAGACCCCCTCGATATGGCCCCAATCCGAGGGACCACTGCTTGCTGCACCAAAAGCCTGGCGAGGCTATGAAAGGCACAGGCACAGTTCTTGCCCGCAGCGCAGAGGCGCCACCACTACATCTAACACCGCAAGAGCGTGGTGCGCACCGTAAGTCTGAGGCGGTGCCCTGTGCCTGAGCTTCTGCTGCCAGAAGACCCCACAGAAAATAAGAGCTACCAGAAGATCTCTTCCTGTTTTCCTTTACTAAAGCTAAGCGACCGCCCCCCCCGCCTCCCGCTGCCTCACAAAGCTCAACTGAAGACTCCCACACTGAGGGTAGGGTCCTCAGCACAGGCAAATACCCAAAGCCCTTTCTAGAGGAAAGTGTCCAACTCCATGAGTAGAGGGAGAGCGCGAATGAAGTGTAGAAATCACGCCTGGGGACAACAAAATTGGAATCTGAACCCCGTTAGCGCATCTGCTTGCCCCCATCTAGGCACTAGGACTGGCGGCTTCGAGGATGCAGACTGTCCTGCTTGCCAGCGGCCGGACAGCTCATAAAACCCGGTTTCTTCCTTGTCGGAGCTAAGGGGCCCTAGAAGTCCTGTCCCCCGTCCAGGTAGCCTATTGTGCCCCCCCCCCACCTCATCAAGGTCCTCCTGATTTCTATCTTTCCTTTCATTTGGTCCTTTCTTTCTCTGTCCCATGTAGACCTCAGTGCCTTGCTCATCAGCCCTTGTTGGACTCAGCTAGGTCGCTCCAGGGATTGGTCAGAATCACCTAGGTTGGTGTTCCCATACCCCGGCCTGGCCTCGAGCAGCCCGGCTTCGTTGTACTCAGGACACAGACTCTCTAGCTCTAACCGACGTCGCACAGCAGCCCCTTCACACCGCCTGGATACCCAAGGTGGCCAGGCGCCAAAGTGCAGCCCTGGCTGATAGTACTGGTTCCTGTCCTCCGCATCTTCCCCGCCAGGCGCCATCTCCCCTCTCACCGGGCGACACTGAGTCTCCCCGGTCCGGCCGCGGAGACCCAACGGGACTTACCGCGGCCGGCACACCGTCGCCCGGTCTGCGAGCTGCGAAGCGGAGCAGGACGCCCGCCTGCACCAGGGCATCCTCCCGCGCCCGCCGCCCGCCCGCTCGCCGCCGCCGCCTACTCCCGCAGCTCCCGGTCTTCCCGCGCCGCTCCGCCGCTCCGCACTTACCTCCGGGACAAGGTGACCCGGCTGGTGCGCCCAGGCGTCCGCCCGCGCGTCTCAGGAGCCAGCGAGCGTGCCGGGCGCGGTGCGGTGCGGAGCCCGCCTCTGCCCCTGGGCTCGTGGCTCTCCGCCTCTGCCCTCCCCTGCGCGCTGCTTCCCCCGCCGCTCCCCTTCCCTGGATCGCAGCCAGCGCCCCGGGCTGCCCCGCGCACACGGTTCCCCAGCGCCAAGCGCGGGGCAGCGGCGCCGCCCTAGCCGAGCTGGGTCCTCTTGGCCCCTGGGAGCAGAAAGAGCGCGGGCTGAGCAAGGGGTGACCCGGAGCGCCGCTCCGCTCTATTGGGTTCACCGAGCCTGGCTACTTGCAAGAAGGAGGAGGCTGCCGCGGGCCCTGGGGGGTGGGTGGGGGGGGGAGGAAGAGGAGGAGGAAAGGGAGCAGCAGTGCGCGAAGGTGGCCGCCAACTTTGCCCTAGGCCAGCCGTGCCCTCGTCAGTGATAGCGGCTGGCGGGTGGCCCGGGGCGAGTGTCTGGAAACGTTGGGGCGACAGAGGCTGGGGGGGAGGGAGACTGCCACTGGGAACTAGGAGGACAGGAATTAGCCTCCGACTGTGGAAACGATGGCTTCCCTTGGTCCTAAAAGGCCTCCCCAGGCTCCAGGTCGACTTGAGGTTCAGATGAACCCATTCTGTAGGTTCAGAGAAAGTCCAAGTCCTGACCAGCAGAACCAGGTCCTGACCAGCAGAATCAGGAATAAGACAGCAGCGGGCGGTTGTGAAGTCAGTACTCTGAGCCTGCAGCTCAGACCTAGGATGGGGTAGGTGCACTGCGGGTGGCCTCATAGTAGTTGCCACTGGAAAGAAACTGGGGCGGCAGCACCTCGGGACTGGGGGTGGGGCAGAGTGGTGGCTTGGAGTAGGTCAGGAGAGCCCTAGGAGAGCCGCCTACAAAGACAATCTACATTTCAAACGTTGCGGGAAACCAAGCGCGAGTGGGTGTGTTTTCGTTATGGATTTAACAGAGAAGGAACTAGAAAATTTGCCAAAGACAGGATCAAAAGTTGTTTTGTCTGTGCTAACCCTCTCAACAACAACCTGGACTTTTGTGCTGGGGGAGTTGAAACTGCTTATCCTCTAGTGTTTCCTTGGTTCTATAGCTTTCTTAGACTGGGAGCCCGCCCCCTGCCTGAAAACCAAATTTTTGTTCCAGAAACCACTGTGTCTAGCCATGTGGGGCTTCCATCTCCAAATCTGGAAGTGGCTGGTGTCCTGTCTGAGAGCCCTCCCCAGCACATGGCTTCCAGGGACCCTCAGCAGCTGATAAGGAATAATCAAATGAAAGTGACACAGGAAGGAGGCTGTGCTGATGAATAGACCCAGGTGTGTTCACAGCAGCTCCTTGCTTGGGTTCATCTGAAGGTCTTTACATGTAAATATCACACCCCTTCCCAACGCTGCAGCAGCTAGGCTCCTGGTTCTCTTCCACAGCTTGCTGGCAGGGCTGTTATCTGGGATGGCCTGAAAAGGTCACTATGATTGTCCCCCATTGAGCAGCTCTTAAATTGAAGGAAAATGTCAAGCCTACCTCTCTAACACCTTACAGTCTCTGGTTCCTTCCTGAAAAGAACATTCTCTCCTCTCCTCTAACTGCTAGGCTGAGCACATGTTTTAGACCCAAGTGAGATGGGGTTATTATCTTTGCTGCTTGTCAGTTGAAGAAACTGAGACTTGAACGCCTGGGTGCCCCATGCCTCCCAGATGACTTGAGTCACTTGCAACTAACTTTCATTTTCTACAGTTAGGGCAGTGCTTTCTTGATAGCCAGCCTTCAGGTTGGCTTTAGAGGTACATTTGCTTTTGCCAAAACACTTGCCTGGCTTACAAATGCTTGAATTTTGAAAGTAGAATTTCCTTGATATAGCAGGCAAGTAACTTGAAGAGTGTAGTGTTAAGCCTGACCACAGATCTCCACTGGCTCTCTTTTCCCTCCAAACTAAGAGCAGAAGGGAGAAGACGCCTTTGTGGAGGCCTTTGGCCACACCCCAAATCTTGAGCACATACTTAGTGAGAAATAGTTATTGAAGAATAAGCCCACACTGGATTATGCTGCCAATGGCAGAAATCAGAGTAGGGGACAACTTGGTGATAGAGCACTTGCCTACCATATATGAGGCTCTGGGTTCCACCCCCAGTACCACACAAAGAAAAGTTGACATCTACTAAAGAAAAAGAACAGTTTGGAAAAAATTTACACACGGTGTTTGCTGTTTTGACTTATTATAACCTTACTATTTATCCTATTCTGTTTATTTAGCTTCCGGATCCCAGATAGCTGCTCTCTCCTCCTCTTGACAGCATTTCCTTCCTTACTCACATGCAAATGCACAGAAGCACAGGCTCACAAACAGTTATGCCATCCAAATGAGCCTTTCTTTTTGTTTCAAAAGAGATCTGCGTTTCTTAGTCAGGAACTACGCATTAACAGGGACACCACCTATTTCTGGCAGATGATAGAACAGCTCTGTTGATCTGGTGTGCTAGCACACATGTGGGACAATTTCCCCTGCATGCAAAAAGCCCTAGCTGTTGTTCCAGAATGTGAGCCTCGCGGCTATCTTGCTATAATATGACAGTGAAATAAAGGCTTTCAAGAAGGTCCGTGAAGGCCTGTCACACATCAGGTTAGAACAGGACACCACAGAAATTGCTAATCTCCTCGAAATTGGCTAACCTTCTCAACAATGCTTATCTCTTAGAGGAGATTACAGGATTCTCAGAGCTTTGAGAGGTGAGTGGGGCCAGTTCCTGTGCTGTGAGGAGCTGTCACTCAGGTGCTGAACAAGCTGTCAAGCCTTTGGATAGCAGAGATAGGGGACATGATAAAGAGAACATGGATATAAGAGTTGTTTTTTTAAAGATAGAAAATATTTCTATGTGTATTCAACTAAAAAACCTTCAGAGTTTAGGGTTATAAAGAGTATCAGGGTATTTTATGCCACATGTTTAGGTGTCAACAGCATTCATTTGGAAAACATCTTTATTTGTAGATAGAAATGTTCATCCTCCTCATGTTGATCAAAGTGCAAAAGGAGACAAAAATCAGATTGTACAAAATTCTAAAATGTGCCACTAAACTAGGGTTTTGTTTGTTTACTTTTCCTCTTCTCTCTCCAAGATCTGTTATTAAGCTGTTTGTCTTGAGTTTAGGAGAATCAGGAATCAAAAGTCTAGGCTGTCTTGTTAAAGGTAAATCTTATTAACTTGGAGGATAGAAAGATAGCCATTCCAGTGATTGATACATTAATAAACATGGTGGCCAATGTCTACACAGGACATGATTGCTACCAAACAGAAAGTGAAAAATCCCAACTCTTAAATAAATGTCTGAGACAATGGTGACATGAATTTAGAACAGGAAACAAAATGAAACAGAATGTCAGAATGTTAGTTGGATAGGGCCACCCCCTAGCCAAATGCCTGGTATTCCAGCTTAAGCAGTTACAGAAGAGCTAGGTGTTGGGTGTGGTAAACTCCAGGTTCAGCTCCACGATAGCCCACGGTTGTCAGAGCACTGTTGATAAGACTGCCACAACACAAGTTCCTCTGCAAGTGCCTTTTCAGGTCTACATCACAGGGCCTCACTAAAGCAGAGCTGGTCTCTCAGTCCAGATCAGAAGAGGGAGAAATGGCCTCCCCCTTCTGGTGAAGTCACAGAAACCACATTGACGTTAGAGGCATGTTTTGCAGTGGGCCACACCTATGAATGAGAATATATATATATATATATATATATATGCCTTTCCCCTCTCTTCTGTAGGGGAGATTGAATGTCAACTACTGTAGTCACATACTCTACAGAGTTATATCCCCGGACCTCTTTTCACTTTTGAGGAAGGGCCTCAATAGTAGCCAGGTTGACTTGGAACTCTCTATATATCACAGGTTGTCGTTAGCTCATATTCTTCCTGCCTCAGCCTCGTAAATATCTGATTTTACAGACCAGTCAACATATTCCAGTCCATATTAAATGATATTTCATTTGTCCATTACAGAATTTCACTCTATAGCCCAGGCTAGCCTTAAACTCATAAGGAGTCTCTTTCCTCAGATCCCCAAATTCTGAGATTAGAGTGTAAATCCCACACTCAATTCTTCACTGATCCTTAACCAGAGCTCCATGGGGTCCCAAGGATGATCTCAGAGAATTAAGACGTTATAAGCTGGGGTATAATAGTTCACCTGTGCCCTCTTCAACAGCACAATGGTGGGTGTTAATTAGCAAAGGGTTGACTAAATGCAATGTTAGAAAGTCAGACTTAGGAGGAAAGCAAATGTGGGCCTGAAGTAAGTGTCTGGCACTATCTGTCACCCTGACCTGACTGGCAGAGGCAGGCTTCCTCGTATGAATGATTGTTATGATATTACCTGCCTGGTATTGCACAGATGTGTTCAGAGCACTCATTGTGTTTTCCCGAGGAGAGATGAGTGGCTATTGTTCTTAAAGACAGCATGGCAGGCTACTGAGTACTCTATTCAAGGAAGCAAAGGGAATGGTTCCTTATGGATCCTTGACACAAAGCCTTGCTGATTCCTGATGTCTTCAGAGTATAAGAAGCCTAGAGCCTTTGGGAGGGGGCTGACACTTTTTCATCTTTGATCTTCCTTTTCATGGAGTCAGCTCAGAGGCTTGCAGCTGCCGTTGGCCAATTCCCTATGCCTGTTCTAGCTGTAGTGTCCTATGCTGTCACAGTATCTACAGTGTTGCTCTCACTCCTAAGACCGTGGTAACATTCGTATGAAAGCACAAGGACCTGTGATCTGTTCCACTTAACTCTAGACTATTTATTTATTTACTTATCTATCTATTTATTTTCTTGGGGTGTGAAGGAGAGATGATATAGGGTCTCATATAGCTCAGGCTGGATTTGAATCCCTAGTCCTTCTTCCTGCCACCTCTCTTACTATTTTGTCATGGCTCACCTAGAACTCACT